GATCACTCTGCTATTAAATATCTGATGCAAAAAAAGGATGCTAAACCAAGGTTGATTAGATGGATACTTTTGATGCAAGAATTTGATCTTGTGGTTATTGATAGAAAGGGAACTGATAATCAGATTGATGATCATTTGTCAAGATTAGAAAATCTAGAATTTTCCGACACTGACAATGAAATTACAGACAGTTTCCCTCATGAACAACTTTATAATATTAATGAGTGGAAAATACCATGGTATGCTGATATTGTTAATTATATTATAAGTGATATTTTGCCACCTATGCTGACAACGGTGTCCTCCTAGCCTAGCCGCAGAATCAGTAACCAAGCATAGGATTAGTCAATGTTCTTTATGCCTGGACCAAAGGGTAAAGAATAGGTATGCTCCTATTTGGCTCAATATAAATTGAACTAATTCATTTTATCCATTCACTATAATTTCTTGACAAGGAGAATGATGCTTTCTTATATATTGAATATCACAATTAAACCCTACTTTATATCATTAGTTTTTTATTAGTTATTAAAATTATATATTTATTTCAATTGCCTATTGGTAACACATAAGCAAATTGAACGTCGTGGTTGTGATTAAGGCATTGCTTTTCTAAGGTCTTCATCCGTAATTCTAAACTACTCCCTATGGGATAGATATCTAGGACTCCATTAGAGCCCTATATTACTTGAGCAATACGTATACTTGCTTTGATAAATTCGACTTTAACATTATTGAATATTATATTTATATAAATCTTTATAAATTAAATCAAATCAAATACATATATAAAGTCGCGGTCAAGTTTTTGGCACAGTTGCTGGGAATTTAAATTATCTAGTAGCGCAATCAAATTATTGTATTTGTCGATTTATAAAAAGTCGGTCACCACCCTTGAAGGAAAAGTCTCCCTTTGGCGGCTGAAACCGTGTCTCAGCTTCGACAACTGCCTCCCAAGATCTTCGGGAATCATGGCCCTCACAGCAGTCTGAATGGACACTCCTCCCCCTTGGGCAGGAACAACAGCCTCCGACGAGTGCCTCAAGTGATGATTTTCATGTTGCCCTCCAGTCTCCTCTACAACCTTCTCCTTCATTAAGCCTATGAGGAAACTCGAAGATCCAGCGAGATCTCTGCACTCCCGAGATATTGGATTATGCACAACACATTCCTTGCTCAACTCCCCTGTGAGGAGTTTGCTCGCCAACTTTTGCTTTGTGTTTGGTTTACAAGCCTTAGCCCGCATGTCACCCATGGCCCTAAGAAGGGTCCTTGTCCGCAGATGATAGTCTCCGCCGAACATGGTAGCAGACATGAAGGGAGAAGACAGAAGTTTCTAAAGAGTAAGGAGGAACGAAAAGCCTCAAAATTTCCCTAATCATGTGGCTTATTTATATTGGCTTGAGCATTGAAATCCAGGGAAGTTCATTATTGAGCAATAATGTCATTTAATTATTTCTTATATCTAAAAAGACTATTATCTTTGTGTGCTTTGCTGCTTCCCAAGAGCAAAAGAATCGGAGAACTAAATATGTATACAAAGAATATGCTAGCATGAATTTCAAGAAAAATGAACAACTCAAGAAAGGAACGACCTATTGGAAATGCTTTGTGACAGACAACGAATTGGATACTAGAAAAGAAGGCATCTAGATCGAGCAATCGAAAGAACATGCTAAGGGATGACCCATAGGACGAAGATTGGCTCTCAGGCCAATCGACCAATTACTCAGCCTCAGAATAAGTTCCGACGGAGAGGCGGTCTGCGAACCTCTTACCGACCAAATCAACCTGCTATTCTTTTTTATTAAAACTATCTTTATAATTACTAAACTACTCTCTAAGAGCTAATGATAAGTGGACTGGTCTGTAATTTTCTTAGACTATGGCTTATTCCTATAAATTAGAGGTTCATATCATGGATGAAAGGCTAGGTATTCTTATAATTCTCCATTATATACTCTCACATTATCCTTACATGACGTTTTATATCTTAGGTGTGTTTCCGAATGCTCTTGGAATCAACAAAACTTAAATTTTCTCTTCAATTATCCTGATACTGATGAGATAAAATTTATTTTGGTTGACCAATGAGAGCCGAACAAATTTCAAAGTTAGGACAAAAGTTGATTTTGTAAAAAATCTCTTAAAACTTTTTCATTTGAGCTTAGGACCCGCATTAGTGATATTTAAAGTCTTTTTGATAAATTTGTTAATATAACAAGATTAATTATATGATGATTAAGAAAACTTAATCAATAAATATTATCAACATTGCAAGGCTATTTTTGAGTTATATAAAAAAAATAAATATGCCTTATATAACATATTCAAACAAATATTTTATATAATGACAGCTTGAAATATAAAAATTTGAAAAATATTTGAATATTTAAAAACAAACATTCAATTATTCAAACAAACATTTTATATATTTGGAATTACATCCGAGTAATTCTTTTAAAAAAATTAATTTAATTTCATATTAAATAATCAAATTTGTCCTAATCATCTAATATGTATCTATTTTTTCTTTAATATTTTTCAAAAATAATATGTCTACAAAATAATTTAAGGAAGGAAGAACTATAACATTGTTATTTTTTAAAGAAACATAACAAATAAATAGTAAATCCAAATTTATATTTTACACATAAAAAATAGCATAAATCAATCTAAATTCTATTTTAATCAAATATTAGCTTTCAGAAATTAAATTAAAATTTATATTTTACACATAAAAAACTGTATGAGCGTCATTTGTTAAATTTTTCTTAATGAAATCAAGAAGGGTTTTTATTGGGAAAAAATTTACAAGTAAATAATTGATTATATTACAAGTAAATAATTGGGAAAAAATATTACAAGTAAATATTGAGCGAGCTCAGGCTTAGCTTGTTTTATGATCGTCTGTACTTCCCCAATTTAAGATTACAAATTTAAACATTTTATATTCAACTTAACAAAATTCTAACAAAATAATAATAATAATAATAATAACAAAAAAATAAAGTCATGCGAACCAGTAGGCGTAGGGCTGTAAACGAGTCGAGCTTGAGCGAGCTCAGGCTTAGCTTGTTTTATGATCGTGTTCGAAATCGGCTCATGTTCGAAATTGGCTCGTGAATTGTGTGTTTGTGTTCAGCTCGATTTAAATTTTCGTGTTCGTGTTCGGCTACTTAAAATTAAATTAAAAAAAATAGATGTAAAACATTGGATTCAAACCTGGACCAATTATATGCAAAAGAAAACACTACCACATTATCACACGAATTGTTATGATTTAAACTTAAATATAAATATATATTATATATTATTATATAAATATTATATGTAATTTATTTTTATATTAATAAATATATAATTTTTTTTTTTTATTTCGAGCTAAAACCAGCCGAGCACAAGTGAACAAAGATTCATTTGTGTTCGGCTTGTTTAATAATTTGATTTTTAAAAATTTATTCATGTTTAATTCGTTTGCACAACGGAAAGGAGCTACTTAAAAGAAGCGAACAGATGCTGATGGGGAACAAATATTTTTGACTGCTCTCAGTAGGCCGCATGGTCTTTCGCCTATATATAGTTGATATATCAACAACCGTCAATAGCATTCTCATGGAACTCAGTAACTGTATTCTCGTTTTCTTCTTCTTAACAACGTTCCAGCTTCCTTCCTTGACCTCTCCATCTCCCACAAATGAACTCAGCCTCCGGCTAGACCTAACCCATGTTGACGCCGGCCTCAACCTGACCGTCCACGAATTCCTTCGCCGCGCCGCCGCAAGAAGCAAGACCCGCCTTGCCCGGCATGCTCATGCCCGTAACAGTAAAGCCCAAGCACCAGTTTTTTGGGGCCCTGAAAATCGGTACGAAGGCGAGTACCTCATCAATTTCAGCATAGGTACTCCGCCCCGGTACTTGCCCTTCATTGTCGACACAGGCAGCTCCCTCGTCTGGACCCAGTGCAAGCCCTGTCGCAACTGCCTAAAGCAGCCCGTCCCACTCTTTGACCCCAAAAAATCCTCCACTTTCACCAAGCTCTCCTGCTCCAGCAAGCACTGCAGCGTTCTTGGCTCAGACTACGCCTCTCAGTGCTCAACCAACCCGGAGTGCCACTTCGACTATGGCTACGCTGACGGCAGCGAAACCATCGGCTACATCGGTTTGGAAATCGCCACGTTCCGCTATTCCTCGGAGAAGCCGCTCTCCGTGCCCCGATTCGCCATAGGCTGCGCCAGGGCAAATCAGGGCAGTATGGCGAGCTCATCCGGCACTGCGGGCTTCGGCCGGAGTGCGGAGTCGCTCGTGTCTCAGCTCCGCATCACCCGTTTCTCCTACTGCTTCATTCCATACATCCCTAAGAACACCAAGCGAAGTCCCCTGTTCCTGGGCGCAGTGACGGGCAGCCCGGTCCACTCCACCCCGCTCTTAAAAGATGATATATTCTACTATGTTTCTCTTGAAGGCATAACGGTTGGGTCAGCCCGGCTTCCTTTCGGGCCGGATACTTTCGCGCGGAAGAAGGACGGGAGCGGCGGGACCATCTTCGACTCGGGAACATTTAATACGAATTTGATAACGGAAGTGTTCGAGGCTGTGAAGAAAGCGTTCTTGTCGGCAATCAAGCTGCCGGTGTCGGAAGACACGCTGTCGGCCGACTACGAGCTTTGCTTCGATACGCCGAGGAGGGGCTTCTCGCCGGAATCGTTGGAAATCCCAAAGCTGGTGTTTCACTTCAAGGGAGCGGATATGGACTTGCCAAGAGAGAACTATGTTGTGTATGATGCGAAGGAGAGGATGTTGTGCGTGATGATTGAAGAAACGGAACCAAGTTCTACAAACATCATTGGCAATTTCTACCAGCAGAACATGAACGTCGTCTATGACCTGAAGAAGGAGAAACTGTCGTTTGGGCCGGCGCAGTGCGATCGCCTCTGAGCCCTTCAACGGATGCTTTTATATAGATATATATTTAGGCTCCAAGATTGACTAAACGAAATCGTCAAATAGAGCACGCAACTCACACTTTAACCTCAAATTATACCAAGTATGACTGCTAGAGCGCAAACCCTCGCCCAATAGCCGTAAGAGCTATTTGGCCCCTCGATAAATCAGTGTAGTTCAAGCCATTCCACAAATATATACTACAAGAAAATTGCACAGAACATAGGAGGCAACCTTGACCGTCCGAGCCAATCGAAATCACTACACAAATTTAGACTTTTTTTCAACTATCCTAACCATCGAAAAATATCAGAAAATCATCATAAATTAAATTTTGGCGTTTTTTTTTTACGATTTATCCGGTGGTCTTTTGGTGGCTTCTATTTGGCGATAATTTACCGACCAAAAGTACCCGTATGTTTATGCCAAAAATAAAATTGTCGATAAGCCAATAGTTATCATTGATAAAATAACTGACGATTACAAGTCGTCAGACCTCATCGATGAAATATCTATTGTTTAACAATTAGTTGACCACCAATAATGCATTGACAGTTAGATGTCGTCGAAAAATCATAACATGAAGAAGTCGGCTGCTCTCAGGTTAGTTCACAGAAAATATCTATTTTTTAACAATTAGTTGACCACCAATAATACATTGACAGTTAGATGTCGTCGAAAAATCATAGCATGAAGAAGTCGGCTGCTCTCAGGTTAGTTCACAGGTTGATTGACCAGCGGAATTGGCTTTCTTTATCAATAGCCTGTCACAAGACTATTGATTAACCATCTGTTTTGTAACCGACGATTATAAATCTTCAGATCGTATGATAAATGAGCAGAAAACTATAAGATAACCATCGAAAATTTATAGCATGAAAAAAATAAATCCTTCCTCATCTCAGCACAATTTTTCACAACAACATTTGGAATATATATAAAATTCTAATTATATATCACACATTATAACTTATCAATCCAAGCATTTATTAGACTAAGTGCCCGTTTGGGGCAGCTTATTTAGATGTGGCGGTATTTTGAAAGCGCTGTCTTGATGTTTGTGTAAAGCGTTCGGAAGGGCATTTTTAAAACGACATTGTCGCTTACATTTTTTCCTTCTACACATCGCACGTGGGGCTCCTCTTGCGTTTGGCGTTTGTTAGGGTTCTATTCCTCCCATGCCCCTGCGATATCTCTCTCGCGCTCCCCCTCGCCATCTCTTTTCCCAATCTTCTCCTTCGTAAACATCAACGCTTCTGGTGAGATCTATATGACGCAATGCTTTCTGGTTGTTCGAACTTCTCTGATTGGTTTTTATTTGCAAGATTCAGTCTTCTCCTTCGATGTTAAATCTATTTGTGTCTCGATTCGGTTATCTTTAGTTTCTTTGTAAGAATTGGTTTTCTTCAGGGTTGGCTTTAGGATGCCTTTGTTGGATTAGGGTTGAAAAAACGTTGATGGAAATGGATCTGAGGTTTTCTCGTGAGCTTTTTTGCGTTTTTTTTCTTGAGGGTTTTCTTGAGAAATGCAGATGAGCAATGGGGGAAATTTTGGTTCGCATTATGGGAATCTTTGTTCTTCCCGTTCCTATTCCTTTATGCAAAATTTTGGTTTGAAAAGTGGAAATCGTATAATACTGTTGGAATGTGCTTCAATGCGTCCCTTTTATATTGTTCTTGAAGGAATGCAGTGGGAATCGTTACACTATTGGAATTATTTGATAAGCCTTTTATATTGTTCTTGAACGAATGAATGCAGGGGGAATCGTTATACAGTTCGAACAGCTGGATTTTCTTAGCTGCGCCTCTTATGATAAGACACCAAGCACCTTTTGAAAAATTATAAAAGTAAACTTGGATTGGATTCAAGAAGACTAACCTACGCAGCCCCCATAGCTACGCCACTGACGCCTCTCTCATAGATTAATTAGGATATTTTATTGGAGAGAAGAAGAGAGGAGTTGTAATGTGTAAGTAGAGGTAAGTAGAGAGTATTGTAAGTAGAGAGTATTGTAAGAGAAAGAAAGAGAAGAGATTCAAATGAACTTCAAGAGTTTGTGGAGAGGAATCAAGATAAGTTTTTATCTTTGTGACTATATTTGGTTTTAATTAGACTTTTTGTTTGTTTGCATAATTTCTACTTTCAAACTTAAGTGTGGTTGTGTTTTCTTAATGAATTATGAGTATTTTTCTTTATCTTTTTTCCTTAAAATGATAAGTGATTAAATATTAGATGGAAGCTGTGTGAAGTATTAATTTTTAATGTTGGAATAAGTTATGATTATTTTCAACCTTATACTTCATTTACTTCTTGATTTGATTATTTAAGATGTTAATATTTATTTTGAGAACATGTAAGATCTGAGATGGTATTATCTCAATCAACTAATAGTAAAAATCACATGAAATTGTATGAATGAGATTGCAATTCATATGATTGAGTGCAAAGAAATAGGGAAATAATAATTGAATAGTGTAGAGTTAGAGGATTTTAAAGTGACAGGATAAAGCCCCCAACTTGATTTATTGATTTAGGTTCTGATACGAGATGTTATTCCCTAGGTGAATTACATAGAGGGAGAGGGAACTCTAGAGTGAGAGCTAGTATCTTTCCTACCTAATCCGTCTTCAAGACTATTCAAACTTTAAATTAGTCAATGTTCTTTATAGCATTCCTAGTAAGGGTAAAGAATATTATTGCTCCTATTTGGCACAACACAATTTGAATACTTCAACAACAAAATTCTTATACTTATTACTAATTCATGATAAAGAAAAAAATATTTTAATTATATTACCTTCATCTTACAAATGTCTAGTTAAATTTAGTTAGTTGTTTACTTTACTTTAAATTATAAAAAAATTTAACAAAAAGAATCAAACATTCATTCCTCTTATATCATCTATAGTTTGAGTAATAATATTTTGCAAAGTAAAATTTGTTACCTAATTTCTTCTGATTTTAGTTGCAAATTGTATTTCTCCCTATGGGTTAAATATTCGAGGCTTAACCAAAAAGTTATATATTACTTGATAACGATATGTATACTTGCGTAGTATCTCATAATTAAATATAATAATTGCATTCTTATTTATTTCAAAGTAAAGTTTAGGCAGTCATTGCAAAGTAAAAAATATAAGCAAGGAAATATTAAGATTATAACTGCAGACATCATACTGTCATATAAAATCAGGATCAAGTTTTTAGTACCTTGTCGGGGAAAATAAAAATTTTTTAAAGAAATTTTTAGAAAGCAGATTTTTACTTTTATAAAGTCTTGTTTAAACTTTTATATTTATTATAAGAATATTGTAGTGTTTTTTTAATATGAAGTTCTTGTTGGTGTGATTTTATTTTATGTTGTTTTGTAGTAATGTATGCGTAGTTTAGGTTTTAAAGAACTACTATCCTACGATTCTAAATTAGAAAGAACTATTAGAAAAATAAAAAATATAAAAAATATAAAAAATGACCAAAAATTTTAAGAAATGACAAACCAAAATAATCAAAATGCTTAAATTAATCAAGAGTTTAGATCTTTAAGAGATTATGTAAACCCTACATTAGATGAACTTCATTGTAGTATTCAAAAAACTGTTAAAGTAGTTAATTCATTTGTATTTAAACCTGCTATTATCCAAATGGTAACAAATACTTAGTTTGGGGGAGCACCAACTGAAGATCCAAATTTACATCTTGCCAATTTTTTTAGAATCATGTGCTAGATTTAAATATTATGGTATATTAGATGATGTTATAAGACTTAGACTTTTTCCTTTTTCAGTGAGGGATAAGGCTAAGATATGGTTACATTCGTTAGTACCTGGAACTATCAGAATTTAGGGTGATTTAGCATAAAAATTCCTTGCTAAATATTTTCCACCACAAAAAACTGCGAAGTTTAAAAATGATATTTAAAAATGATATTACATCTTACATCTTTTAGTCAGTTTGAAAAGTAATTTATTTATCAACCATGGGAATGATTTAAAGAACTACTAAGAAAGTTTTCACACTGTGTTATACCAGATTGGTTAACATTTTAAACTTTTTACAATGAATTAGCTGGATCTCTTAGATCGATTATCGATGTCGTTGGTGGTGGTTCATTTATTTCAAACCCATTTCAAGAAGCTTATGTTGTAATTGAAGATATGACTACTAATAATTTTCAATGGTCTTCTGAGATGGTAAATTTTAAGAAAGTGGTCAATATTCATGAATCTGATGCTTTTGCAATGTTAACAAATCAAGTTGTTACAATTTCAAGGTTACAATTTCAAGGAAGTTAGTTACAATTTCAAGGAAGTTAAACCAATTTGAAATGAATTTTTCTCAACCAATTTCAATGATTGAAGAGAAGTTATTAGGCCAAATGGTAGATTCTCAAGCATATCATAACAAAAAAATCAAAAAAAAAAAAATCGAATTTCATAAAAAATAAGCAGAAAAACCCATATTCAAACATATATAACCCAGGTTGGATGAACTATCCTAACCTTAACTGGAATAATACTTTAGGTGGTAATAATCAGCAGTGGGGGAACAACCAAGTAAATAGATTGGAAAATTGAAACAACCAAGGTAATAGTAATTATATACCTACATATCCTCCAGGTTTTCATATTAATCCGCAATCCAAGTAGAAAATTTTTCTATAGAAGAAGTGGTGTTATAAATGGGAAATCGATTACAAATTCAAGGAGCTACAATTAGAAATATTGAGAATCAATTGAGACAAATAGCAACTTCATTAAGTAATAGATCTCAAGGAGCACTTCTTTTTAATAAAAAATTAAATCCAAAAGACCAGAATAAAGAGCAAAGTAAAAGTCGTTCAACTTAGAAGTGGAAGAGAGTTTGAAGGTAGAGTTCAAAAAGAGATTGAAGTTGAGAGAGAAGAAATTTAAGAGCCTAAAAAGGACGCTTTGAAAGGCTTATAGAGGTTTATATCTCCACTTAAAATTGACTTGGAAAGAACACCACCTCTATTTCCTCAAATACTTCATCAACAAAAGTTGGATAAACACTTTCAAAATTTCTGGAGATCTGACATGCCTAAAAAATGCTTGGTTTTTCATATACATTTTGTGCTTAATTTTAATGATATTACTCTTTAAAGGAAGGTGTTTTGCATGTTTTTGGTTTTTGGTACAAGAAATGGACTTTTGGAGAAAAATAAACAAAAACGGTGCAATTTGGAGCAAAAACGAGCAAGAAATGAAATTTTGCCCTATCACCTTTCGATAAGTCTTTCGATGCTTAATCTCTTTTACACTTATTACATATTT